TGAGTCTATGACAAGAGTACTGGCTACAATTTAGCTTAAAAAGGGACACTTACTGGCAGGTGCCGAACAAAGGCCAAGAACAAAAAGCCAGAAATACCCACAAAGGCACCTGTAATTTGCGTATCTAGAGCCAGGCTATGGGTGTGCATAGAGGAGACACAAACTTCTAGGCCATCTTCAAGTCTGTCAGTCCCACACGAGTCCAAGTGTCTTCTCATTTGGCTTACTGCAGAAGGTTTTGGGGTGGGGGTTATTGGGTACATTTTTTCTGTAGCCATCTTTCCCTGACATGCCTGTGCAGGGGCCTGTGTGGCCTGTGGGATCTGCTCCAGCCATGTCTGAGAAGACCCACAACAACCATGTGCAAACCTCTCAAGGAGATGAGAACGCCTGGATCACTGGGAGGGTCCACCAAGAAAAAAAAAAATCAGAGCAAAAGAATATGAAACAGAAGGAAGAAGAATTCATTTTTCAACTACAGCGAATGTAATGAAAAGGAGCTAGCGAAAGGATCTTTCCTCTGTTGGGGCAAACACAGTAATAGAGCTTTCCGCATTCTCTGACCTGAGCCCACCTCTAACGCCCGACCGTGGGCCGTCAACTGATGCCCGCAGGTGACACCAGGTACATGAGGGCAAGGAGCTAGGTCTCAAACTGCCTTTTCAAATATGGAGATGCTCACATTTGAAATCCTTTCTAAATGAAGACGATCTTCCAATGATGGGTAGGTTGTTAGCAGATACTGGAATTACGAAGTGTCAAAGTTCACCCAGAGGGAAAAAAAACCTAAGAGAAGGCCATGCTGGAAGCATCATGCAATACACAATCTTTGAAAAAAAAAAAAAAAATCTTAGAGTACCTAAACCAGGTAGTAGCAACCAAGGAGATGATGCAGAATGAGAAAATGCATCTAACTTTTCTAAATATTAAAATCTCTTTAGAGGCCATAAAGAAGCAAATAAGCAGAATAGATACATCCTTCTTGGCTAAAGTTATATTAAACATACTGACTTGAGTGCTAGAATAAATATGCTTTATTCGATACGGTTGTCCCTGACAGGTCATGAAAAATGTCCGCTGGTGTCAAAGGATCTTCAGATTACTCAGATATGGCCACGGGGCTCACTGCCAGAGGCCTTCCCTGCCCTTTTCCTCCTCCTGCTTTGACTTCCCTGATCCGCTTCCCTCTCCTCCTTCCTCCCTCTCCCTTTTGCTATCCTGGTTGTCTACAGCGCTCTTTGAGAGTCTTAAGCTGCACACTCCCTTTACCTGGATACCTGCCCCGAGCCGAGTACATGGCACCTCTCACATTCAACACTGAACTTTTTCTTGCTTTACTTCTCCCCCATTTAAAGATGGGTGGCTGCTGTGTGCCACCCACATCTTTTTCTCACCAAGGATTCCTGCTTTTCTTTTTTCCCGCCGTTGCTCTGCTTTTTCAAGTCCAGAGATGGCTTTTAACTCCCCCTACTTTGGTTTACTTTAACCATCCCTCAAGTCCTCTCGCTGGCTGCAAACAGCTTTTGCCAGCATTCTTCTAGAAATCGGTGCCAAACATGCATCCTTTTCCATCGACTGCAACTACGTGAAGAGGGGGTGTGTCTGCCACCACACCTTTTGTACCTCTGTTCCCAACTGTTGGTCAATAGGAGCTGGAATGAAATGTACATACTATTTGTTCAATAAGTATTTCATTGGACCGTTGACAGGACAGATGGGGACTGAATTATTTTAAAAGGGAGTTAAAACAAAAGGCAATTCTCACTGTCATTCTTCTTTGGTCAAAGCCCCTAATATTCAAAGCAGAAAGTAACATCTCTATTAAGACTAGCGGTATATCTTTTTACAGTTAACGTTCATATAAATGACAGCGTAAGGCAAAGTGGAGAAATTTTATAAGTGAGAACATTTGGAAAAGAAATATATTTGTTAAATGTACAGAAGGCATCATGCTGGGAAAAGTAACTAATATCACAGAGAGTAACATGAGTAAAATGTAAAGGAGGAAACAAAGCAGAAAGAAATCAAGGAGAGTTGGCCATTAAACTGGTGTTAAAAACACAAGCCATGTAATAGGCAAGAAGAGTCGCCATTTGGAATTTTATACGGCTCTAGCAAGATGTTAATTTAGGGCCTTGGGTCAAATTCTCCATTTCTTCTTGTAGCAGAGATAAGGAAAAAATCAGAAAGAATTGTATGGAGCTACAACTCACACTTTCAGAGCCGGTTAAGAGATGACCCACTCCACGAGGCCCTTCAGAGAAATAATCCGAAACCCCGGGAACTCTAAGAGAAAGAATATCTTCCTCCTCTGTGTTCTCACACGGCCTCCTATAAATGCCACCGAAAAGTTGGAAGGTCTTGATAAAAGAAATAAATTCATTAAGGCGATGGAGAAATGGCGATGAGGAATTAAGGCAATCGGACTAGTTTCACCTGCACAAAATATAGAAAAATTAAGTTTCGAGCTTGAATTCCTCGGCTCGTCCTTCCACTCTGAGTTAAGCATGGTGAACTCGTGATATAGAGCTGCTTCTGCTTCCTTCAGGCCCCTCAGGAGCTGTGTGTGGATGGAACGCACCTTCATCTCAATATCGGTCCAAGTAAATATCATTAAAAAGATGGCCTGAGAGCACACACGGCTTCTCAAGTCAAACACATTTGGAAAGTGTGCCTTTCTGTTTTATCTATGTCGCTGTTCCCTTGTCACAAGCATAGTTATCCAAGAGGTGACTGTAAAAGGAGACAGGTAAGTAGCCGTTTTCAGCATTACTAGGACGTGACAATGGGTTTAAGTGTTCGGAGCAGGTGACACATAAAGTAGAATCTGAACGGGGGGAAGGTTATTGATGGTAGAAAAATAGCATTGGAAATGGATGGCGATGGAGCAACATCCCTGCCGTAGCCTGTGGTCAAATTAATGGGAAACGAAGGATGGGCAAGACCTGCATCTAGAGAAGTTACCAGAAAAGGAGGAGGAAAAGCGAGCGAAGGTGGCTGATGCAGCCGACAGCAGAAAGCAAGAGTGATTAAAGATTCAGGCGGAAAACTGAAACGAGGCCGACCAACGGCGAGAGGGGCGCATCATTAAAATCTGAGTTCCACATGCTTGAAAGAAACTGATATGCGATTTCTCAGCAATTATAGAAAACATCTATTTGGTGGAAAGAAAAAATATATAATTGTAAAAATATTAACAGTGGTAAAAACGACTGCTAAATATACATGGGATTGGTTCAATCGAATTTAAGATTTTTATGATTCCATTTCAAAACTGAAAACTTTAGATCTCACTTGGAAAATGACGTCGACGTTTATCTCAATGACCCGTGTTCCTCACAACGGTTTCAATAACGCAGGACACTCAGCTTTTCTCTTCCAAAATTACTGACAGCTAGTAACAAACTATTAGTCCCAAAGTCGTAGTCAACCATGGCGAAAGCAGGGAGGGTCACGTTTATTTAGAATTCCAAATGAAAAAACTAGTAGTAGAAGGGAACCAATTTACCCGTTCAGACCAAAAAAATTATCTAGACCTATTCATTTCATGTCTGGCGTTTTCTAATATATGTATCATCTTTGAAAATGGCCCAGAGCAAATCCAGCTGCAGAAGTTTTCTTCGAAACTCAGTCCACAGTTAGCATTTAGGGCGTAAGTTGAGGGATAGATAGAAAGGCCTCTTCTCTCAAGCCCGTGCCTGGAAGCTCTGAGCCCAAATTAAATGGCGAATATATCGACACCCTGGCTCAACACCTGGCCCATGAGTAGCAGCCTCGTTTCCACACTGTTCTTGGCACCAAATTCTATGCTACATTAAAAAGGCAAACCACGAAGGCCTCGCCCCATTTACTTTTGGATTCGCAGTTATGTGAGGAAACATTAGCTGCCATCTGAATACATTAGCTGCCATCTGAATACATTAGCTGCCATCTGAATACATTGTAAATGGCTTGGGTTTATCTTCTGGATCCTTCATTCGACACTGACATTCACGGTCCTCATAGGACCAGTGCTAATTTTAAAGTGCACGACGGGTTTACGAAGTGTCATTCATAAATGGTTTTGCTCAACTGGGTTCAACAGCTGTGCCATTCAACTGTTACGCCAGGTAAGCCGAGCTGTTTTAAAGCCAAGAAGGTCTGAAATCATGGCCTCGGGGTTTCAAAACCGCCAGGAAGGCAGCGGAAGTAGAATCTGGCCCTAAAAGAGGGCGCTTTTCGCTGTCTGCACGACATGGCTTTCTCGTCTTTTCATGGAAGGAACATCACTCAGAGCATTTAGTTTTGTCTTTGAATGAACTAGAATAATGAGACCCTGTAAAGTGCATTAATTTTATTAAAAAATAATTTTTTTTTAGGCGAAGCGATCCTTGGTTGACTTCACAGATTGCAAAGACTTTGTCAGCTTACAATCTCTTATTTTTTATTTTTTACATCTACAGCACCTGGTCTTCCTAGGTGGTCTCCCATCCAAGTACTAACCAGGCCCAACTCTGCTTAGTTTCCGAGATCAGATGGGATCGGGCTTGTTCAGGGTGGCATGGCCGTAGACTAAAGTGAGTTAATTTTAATACATAACACAATCAGTCTTGTGTTTTCATTACTGACGAGTATTAATTTCAAATAACATCCTTCTATTTTTATTCCTAAGATGAAGTGAGTATGTACAATAATGCGTGTCTCTAACAAAAGCACCTGCTGTTTTGTTGACCTTACTGAATGCTAACCTTAGATCCGATCACCTATTAATGAAATCACTTTCTTGGTGACACGGGGTTTGGGAACTAGAGAAACAAAACAACAGCTTCCCAGAGAAAACACATTTTCTTTTCTCAAGCTAGGAGCACAAACTCCATTCCTTCCATCTCTTTAAATTTTCATGGGAAAGATCAAATAACTACTGAAGAGATCACCTATGACAATAAATACATTGAAACAAGCCGGAAGGAAATGAGAAACCATCAAAGCCAGACCCTTCCATGATGTGTCAACAGCCTTACCTATCAGGGTGTGAAATACGGCAGCGATGGCACCAGCCACCACCATGCACAGGACAGCTTTGGTCCTGTCTCGCTTGCTGTTCACAAACACCAGGCCCACGTTTTTAAAGTCACTCATGGGGCCGGTGAAGAACTTCATCAGGGAATAGGCCAGCCCGTAGCTGGCCAGCATCTCCACCGCATCCTCCTTCACAGCCGCGATCCCCCGGTTCAAGGCCTGTGAGGGGGGAAAGACAACCCACGTACAGCATTAGAAATGTCGTCTCATCTCTAGGGAATCACACTTTAAAATACAGCTCAACAGATCACGTTTCTATGGAAACGCTAAGCGGCTTATAGGGTAAATCTCGCTGTAATTTCATAAAAGTTATTAGTTTTCATTTTCATCCATATTAGCTTTAGTTTGAAATATCTTCTTGTGCGAGAGATGCCTGTCCATTGGGGTTAAAGTCATAGAAGAAAAACCCAACAGGCATTTTATGTTAATATCGGAAAATAATTCTACGAAGCGTAACACGTTAAACTTTATTTGTAGGCCGAATCTATAATAACAGCAATAGTTGTTCTGGAAACGAGTCAACCACTTTTATAGAGTGGATGATGGTTTCTGTTTTCTTTTAATGAAGGGGTGTGTGTGTGTGTGCGCGCGCACACGCGCACACGCGCAGACATGCACCCAGGTGTGTGCACACACTTAGCCTGAAAGACTGTGTACGTGTTACATAGGCAGCCTTCACAGCATAGAGTGAGTTCCATGCAATGAAAAAAGGCATTGAAGGAATTTATTATACCGTCAATAGATGCTATTCACCTGATTTTCTTTAACTTGAAATATATTACTAAATTCTGTGCAGAAAAATACAAAAAGCAAAAACAAAAAACCCTTTAAACCAAATACATGTTTTTGAATAGCGCTTGCTCAAGACGATGCAAACGCAGAAGATTCTGATGATGTTATCCACCTCCACGAAGGACCGTCTGAGGTACTGGTGGCTTCTCGGGGTGGCATTTCCAAACTAACTCCCCCACCTACTAGACAAATAAATGGCATCGGACAGGGCGGGAGTGGATTCCTGGTGCAGAGAGCGTCTATTTTAAAAATGTCACCAGCATGTCGTGTCTGTCTTTAAGATCAGGCAACTGACTGGGCAGGAGAGACAGTTTTTTTGTATAGTTATATTTTTTTAAAAATAGATTTTATGTTTTAGGGCCATTGAGGAAATGGAGCAGCAAGTATAGAGAGTTTCCATATAATGCCTGTCCCATCACACACACAGCGCCCCGCCCCCAACAACGTCCTCCACCCGAGTGGGACATTGATTATAATCGATGGCCCTACAGTGACCCACCACTATTACTCAGTGAAAATTCATGCTTGGTGTTTTACATTCTAGGGTGTTTTACATTCTAGACGTGTATCCACCATTATATAGTTGAACATTTGATCCAAAGCAGTTTGCAAAATACATATCTAAAATACCGACGTGCAAAACGATTTTAGAAAAATCTAGAATAAAAATGTAGGCCAGCTGTAGGTATTCTTCTGACAAACTCGGCATTATATGAGCTAATTGTTTCCAATCATATCTTGAATAATTGTTCCTGATAATTGTTTCCAATCATATTTGAATCCTTTTCCTTCCTTCCAACAATAACAAAAAAAATTTCCATGAGAACCTTTTCAGCCTTTGCAGAGCATACCTGCCATAATGCCTTCCCTTAAAAGCAAATTTTCCTTCTACCGAAGCTGATCTAATACCTTAACACCCTAAAG